CTATTTTTTTTAAATGTAATGTTTATTGGTCTCTTATACGGAGAATTTTATATGTTGTCTTAATTAGCTTGTATGAGAAAATATATACTCCCTCCGTCTCATTTATATTGTCCCGTTTTACCTTTTCGGGAAGTCCCACTTATATTGTCTCATACGTAGTACCATATTTGGCAAAGTTTGTGTGACTCTGAATCATTCTTACCTTATTCTTACTTTATCAATTAATATCAATCACACAAACCTACTTTTCTTAATAACCGTGTCTCCCTCTTCCGGGACAATATAAATGGGACGGAGGGAGTACCCTCTAACTTTATTTTGGAACAATTAAATTAAATAGATAATTTTTGCTTGAAACAAATGTACCATTAAATTATATTTTAGATAGAGAAGTTATATACCTGTAAGGCTGTAAGTACATACCATATTAGAGAAGTTATATACCTTTAAATTAAATTAAAGATTAGAGTATCAAAGAACATATATATTCACTAACCATTTGAACAAAAGTGTAAATTTGTTCAAACATTACAATTTCGGTGCTTAATTTTTTTGAATGAAAGTGGAATGATAAATTTATTTTTTTTATTTAACATAAATTTCAAGCTAAGGGTGTAACTGTGTCTTCTCCATTAATAATACTCTATACTTCGTATATCATATTGGGTTTTAAATAAATTCACCATGTAGTAAGACTGTAAAGTTAATAATGTATACTACTATACTAATTTAGTCATGATTATATTTAAAACTGCATACCTTTCTTACATATACACATACTAGTATCTTTACCCGTGCGATGCACGGGTTTAAATGATTTTGATTTTAGTTTATGAACAGAAAATCACTTATTCAGTCGATTTTAATGTTGGTTTATAATGCATATTCTAATTTATTGAGCATGTCTTGTTTTTAACTAATTATCTAAACATATTTGCAGTCAATAATTTCCAATGAAAATAGCGTTCTTGTAACTCTCATTTGCATCCAAATGAAATTAATCTTTTCAACTATATTTACCTAAACAAAAAATGAAAATGCTAAATGCCTATTTTTTCCATTAAATTTCATCCTGGTTTATTGTTTTTTCAAAACTAACTACACATTTTTTTAATTTATATATCTAAATTGGGTATAGTCAATTTGTTTTTAGATGCCCTTCACGATTTTAAAATTTTGCAAATTAGTCCTTCAATCTTTGACTTCATGAAAAGAGTTTATAATATAAAGTTTCGTGACATTCCTATTTTAATGAAGACAATGATGGCGACAACAGGTTGCATATTGTGATTGTTAGCGACTGGTTTAATTTTTTTAGAATGAGTTATTGAGGGTAATATGATCTAATTAACTAAAATAAGTGATATTGAACTTATACTGTGATCCATATGATAACTTATGGAAATTGAGTTTTCAAGTGTAGTGGTATTATTAAAGTTGTATGTGTGTAGTAAGAAAATGGAAAAATGAGTACAATAGGCTAGACAGTTCTATTCTAGCTCAACAATCTCATTGAAAAGTAGGTGGCTTGGAGCTATCAAACATATCTTACTTTTATTATTTTGAGACATTGACCTATAGAGTTAAATGACCTTATTGCATAAATTCATACATGAATAAATAAGTTGTACATATTTTTTAATTTCTTAATGTTTTTTAAATGTTGATTTTTTTCAAAGCTTTTATTTCGCACGCTGAATTATGTAATACTCTCTCCGTCCCGCTAATATTGTTTCATTTTACGTTTTTTGGAAAGTCCCACTAAAATTGTCACATATCAAATTTGGTAAAGTTTGTGTGGCTATAAATCATTTTTATTTTTTCAATTAATATCAATCACATAAACTCACTTTTATTCATAATCGTGTCACCCCCTTCCGTTCTAATATTAGCGTGACGGAGGTAGTAATGAGAAGAAAAAGTAATATTGAAGTTAATTTTCCGGCTGTAATGACTAAAGTTAGTATGGAGGATTATTTTGGCCATTTTTATGAAAAAAAAATCTATATTTTATTAGTAACAAATATTTTAAATATAATTTTTCATAAGTCACCAGAATCAGTCTATCCAACCACTCCAGCCAGAATTTCATAAATTTCAGTAGAATCAACCGATACAACCAATTTCAGTGTTATCAAATGAGATCACAATTATAAATTATGGAAGTTTTGTCGTGTTCAATTATAACTCATCAGGGCCCCACCAAAATATAATGTCATGTTTATTTTAATATGGTGTAACTTTTTTATTTGCACTCCAATTGTTACAAAAAATGTATCAAAATTCACAATTTTTTATGATCTTTCAATTCATATGACACCAATGTTAAATATATAAAAATAAAAAATAATTTAACACTTTAAAACACTTGTCTTGTAGAAAAAATAAGATTGGAGTTGATTTTCTGGCTGTATTGGCTAAAGTTACCATGGGGGATTATTTTAGTTATTTTTCATAAAAAAATACTCCGTATTTATTTTGTTAGAAAAAAAAAATTAAATCTAATTTTTCATAAGTTAGCAGAATCAGTCTATTCAACCACTTCAGCCAGAATTTCATAAATTTGAGTAAAATGCCGATTCAGTCAGTTTCAGTGTTATCAAATGAGATTGCAATTATAAATTATGGAACTTTTGTCGTGTTAAATTATAACTCATCATGGCCCCACCAAATATAATCTCATCTTTATTTTAATGTGGTATAAATTTTTTATTTGTGCTCCAATTGTTACAAAAAATGTATCAAAAAATATAAATAATTTATAAGTGTTGTAACATTTTTATTTATACTCCGGTTGTTACAAAAAAATATATCAAATTAATAACTTTTTATTATCTTTTAATGACACCAATATTAGATACATAAAATTAAAAAATAATTTAACACCTTAAAATAACATCTGTTTTTAAAAACTTCTATAACTTTTTAATTTATACTCCGATTGTTACAAAATATATATCAAAATTCCTAACTTTTTATTATTTTCCATATGACACCAATGTTGCATATATAACAATAATAAAAATTAATTCTATTTTTATATATGCAAGATAAGAAACTGCACATATTAATATATATTTTTTATATATGCAACATTGGTGTCATATGAAATATTTCAAACAGTTATAAATTTTTATATTTTTTTTGTAACAATCAGAGTACAAATGAAAAAGATATATCACTTTAAAATACAAATGTTTTTTAAAGTATTAAACTATTTTTTATTTTTATATATTCAATATCGGTGTCATATGAAAGATAATAAAAATTTATGAAATTTAATATGTTTTTTGTAACAATTAAAGTACAAATTCAAAAGTTATTTTAGTTTAAAATAAACATGGGATTTTATTATTTGAGTTGCATAGTTTTAGGAAGTTTTTTTTAAAGAGGACGTAGGATTCCAACTTAGAGATTAGTCATAAATTAACGTAACATCAGTTCTAATCTAAGTTAAATACTAATGTATGGGAAGAATAATTAACGAACATACCAAATTAGAAAGGGAATTTAGAATTTTATAATTAATGTTTCCTTAGAAGATGACACATGGCAAAACTTTCCATAATTGTATCTTTAAAATGTATTATCTATAGATAGATAGATTGGTCTCATATGAAAGAGAATAAAAAGTTATAAATTATGGTATATTTTTTGTAATCATCAAAGTACAAATTGAAAAGTTATAGCACTTAAAAATAAATATGAGATTTTATTTTTTGAATTACCTTAGCTTTGAATTAAACGTAAGATGAGTTCTAATCTACCTTTAATACTAATTAACGGAAGTATAGTTTATTTACTAAATTGGAAAGAAAATCTAAAATATTATAATGAAAGTTTGTTTAGAATATGACACATGACAAAACTTTCCATAATTGTATCTTTCAAATGTATTATTTATAGATAAGCCTATTTATCTTACAGATTGACTACTTGGTAAAGTTGTAGTGAAGTAAAGTAATGAAGATGTTGTTGCTCCTCAACATTATGGATGTTTTCATCCTTCTTTATCTCGCGGTTCTCGGAAAACTCAAGATGCCCAATCACATAAGCCCATAGAATAACCCTACAACAAAACAAAACTAATGAATGAATGAATATCATAACACCGTAAATTGACATATGAAGATTTTTTAAAAACTATTTTGAGGCAGAGATTCTAGAGAATGAATGGAGAGCCCCCACTTCATCATTTCATTTGTGCTGCTACTGATAAACTAAAATTTGTTTTAGATTCTAAGGTAGTAGCAAAATTCTTAATTGCCCACTTTGCAGTTTAATGTGATTATTTGTACGTGTGTAGTTTTATTTTACCAAGAGATGCACACAATCGCACAAGATTATTCCAAGGCGGGAACACTTTGTTGATGGTCACACCCATTCTATTTTATACTAGTATGTATAATAAAAATAAAAAATATAGATATAGATTTTGGGCCTTCTATATCCTTTAACGTTTGCCACATGACATTGTCTGATTTCCCTTTTTATATTAGTATAGATCTGATTTCCCTTTTTATATTAGTACAAATCTGTTTTATTTTTATGGCTAAAGGGTCAAATAAGCCCTTGAAGTGACTTAAAGTGTTCAATTAGCTCCTTATATAGGAGGTTCTGCTCGGTCGTCGCTAATTGGGGCGGTTCCCGGTAGAATTTTTTAATGAAATTTTTTGAGCATCTTCTTCATTAAGTCTAGTTTAGTCATGCCAAATTTCAGCTAAAAATTCAACTGGGAAGGCAGTGAAATGATTTTCCAAAATGTACTGCTCTGTTTAACTTCACAGTTATCTTCAAAAAATCATTTGACTGCCTTCCTGGTTGAATTTTTAGCTGAAATTTGGTATGAGTAAACTAGACTTAATGAAGAAGATTCTCAAATAATTTCGTCAAAAAAATCCACTGGGAACTGCCCCAATTGGCGACGGTCGGGCAGAACCTCCTATATAAGGGGCGAATTGCACACTTTAAGTCAGTTCAAGGGCTTATTTGACCCTTCCTATTTTTATTTGCGTCAGAAAGCAAGGTGCAAACAGATAAGGTTTCGTTGAGTAATAAGCCCTTATCTCAGTTCCATTTTCCCCGCACCATCCACATTTTTTCAATTCTCTGTCATGGAAGCTTGTCCAATTCTAAGAACAACCTCACTGCCGCCATTAATCTCATCAGCGCCGACCAAAAATCTCCTCCCATTTTCACTTCACACACCAAACCCTACTCAATCTCCACCTTCTAAGTCAAACCTCACTCTTTCAGCAACCCGAAAAGGATTTGGATATACCACCTCCCAAAAGAAATCCAAAAGATCCAAAAGAAAACCCAGAAATGAAGAAGGTAAAGAGGAAGATGATGAAGAAGAAGAAGAAACGGAAGGGGTGATTCCGGAGATAGTGACGAATCGGATGATTAGCAGAATGGGTCTGACTGTAGGGATCCCTTTGATGGTAGGGCTGTTGTTCTTCCCATTCTTTTACTATCTCAAGGTTGGGTTGAAAATCGATGTGCCGACTTGGATTCCTTTCATCGTCTCCTTTATCTGCTTTGGGGCAGCCCTGTTCGGGGTCAGCTATGGGATAGTGTCCTCTAGTTGGGATCCTTTCAGGGAGGGCTCTCTCTTGGGCTGGAACGAAGCTCAGAAGAATTGGCCTGTTTTCCGGCAATCCATCTGGGGTGGGTCCACAAAGAATAAAAGTAATTTATAGCTGTGATTTTTCTTTTTTCTTTTTTTCACTAACTAATTCTATGTATTTTCCTTTTTAAAAAAAATCTATGTGTTTTTGTCACACTTACATAATGATGAATACAATTAAATTTTCTGATAAGTAAGGTATTTATAATTTTTGTATACTACTACCTCTGTACCTCTAAGTTTGGGATAAGGAGGTGTGGTGTGATTTTTAAAAAAAAGTTGAATTGGATGGTTGATAATGAATTTATAAATGTGAATAAAGTAAGAATGAATTGTAACCATATGAAAAAGGTAAAACCCTAAAATGGGACAAAGTTAGAGGGACGGGGAGTAATTTGTATGAAGGGTGAAACCAATGTGCTCCATATAAATTTGTATTACTAACATTAGAACATGAGGTGTGGCGCGATTGTTAATAAAAGTGAGTTTATTTGGTTGATATTGAATTGATTAAATAAGAATAAAGTAAAACTTAGAACTACAAAAATTTTGCCAAATTTAGTATGATGCAATCTTAATGAGACAGATTGAATAGAAAAAGATGAGACAATCTTAACAGGACCGAAAATGTATTAGAATAATATGTACATCGTATTTAAGAGGCACAACCGTCAATATATAAAATTAAAATTAACATTGGAGAGTTCTTCAATTTCCTTGCTACATGAAAATGATTATTATCTGATGAAAAATCTGTTGAGTATCCAACAAATTTGAGTAACAAAACTTGAAGAGGCTTACTCAACCCTTAGAATTGTCATTCCTTATTAACCGAATCAAATCCCTAACTTTGAAAGAAGACATTATGATTATCGGCATAAACAAATGATGTTTTTTATCATATTCAAAGGCCTGTGGAAACTAGTTGAAGATGAATGTGAAGACCTTGGATAGATGTGCAACAAGCCAAATATAGAGAAATTGTGAAGAACATAACTAAGCGCTCCAAAAAAAATAGGAAAAATTGAAAATAATAATCCCAACTATTGCCGGTCCGCTGAAAATAATCCCAACTATTGATTATTTGTGTATAATCCCAACTATATAGACTATCCGCCAATAATGGTCCATGACCATATATTACATCTATAAAAGTGAGTTTTAAATAGAAATTAAGCATAAAATTTAATAGTTGAGATTATTTATAGGGATTACTTGTTATATCTCATCTCATTCACTTTAGAAACTACAAGAATTTATTCATAGGGACCATTATTGGCAGAAGGTCCCTAAAGTTGGGATTATTCTGTAATAATCAATAGTTGGGATTATTATGAGCGGACCACCAATAGTTGGGATTATTACTATCAATTTTTCCAAAAAAATATGGGATTGAAATGAATTTGACACGGATTATCAATGATTTCGTATCAAATGACTCATGACAAAATATGTTTGGCACATATTTTGTGAATCCGTGCCGAATTCTTTATGAATTTTGACAAATCCTTGCCAACCCCATTACTTTTTGTGTAATGTCCGGCTACGCTACGTTTATCAAGGAGTGAGCAGGACAACTCACCCCGCATAAATGACATTTTCAAAGTCAGTGAAGCATGGCAGATTCTCCAACAGGAGGTTGAAGGGAATGAGGATGTAATTTCCATCAAACTTCAAACAACTTTAGCTTTTTTGATAACTTATCTATGTGACTATGTTGGACAAATCAAGTGTAGGTTTTTTCTGGAGCAACGGAAATTTAAATCAAATTAAAATTTGTGTAGACCGTATTCAAGAGAACAGAACCATTGTACTAGTTAAGAGAACATAGTGGTTGAACGTATTCTGAAAAGTGTTAGAAATTCTCGAGCTTTCAAAGGATTCAAAGGGTCTTGTTATATTAAGTTTCGTTTAATATCTCGTAGGACTTATTATGTGTCATTTGCAGTTCATGTTCGTAAAAGAAGCTCTAGATTTTTCTATTCACTCAATAAAAATGCAAGTGTCAAAAGCTTGATGCTAGTCAATTATTGTCAACTCATAAACAGAAACAAAGAGGAGCAACTCAAATACAAAACCACTTTGTAGAGACTCGTCTTGTTTATCAAAGTATCAATCAATGAATAGCAACATTAATGATTTTAACAGACATGCACGGATAACACAGTTGGTCAAGTGTCAGGAAAGTTGGAATGATTAAGGATCAACAGCGCACGTGTGAAGGGTACAGTTCTATCACTGTTGGACTGGTTGAATTACCGTGAATTACAAACTCTCATATGTGATGGCGGGTCAAGGCGTGGGAGGGGTCCTTGGAGTTAGGGATTCAACATTTTGAAGGAATTAATGATTTTAATAAATTCTCTTTATTTGAGAAGGAAACTACATTCAGACTATTTTATTGTTTTTTCATTCACAATATTTCAGTCCTTCATCCAAACAAAGCTACATCTCAATTAATAAATTTGTTTATTCAATTTCAGTTGAAAATGAACTGAAATGGCGTCACAAACATAACGTTAGTTTTGATCTCTGTTGAACAAACTCAAACACCTCAACCTCGCCCTACCCAACTCCCTTCAATTAATGATGCATTTATAGTAAGCTCTCACAACCCACCAAAACATCATCAACTCAACTATCGGTACTATGTACTTCCTCCGTAATATTCATATCTTCTCACTTTCATTTTTTGGATGTAACATTCATATCTTCCCATTTCTAAATCTTCTCATCATACCCCCAATAATTTTAAAAATAATACACTATTACACCTACTTTTTTGGATTTATCCTTTATTCCATCACATTATTTCACTATCTTCCCATCATACCCTCAATAATTAATATCCTCTTTCACTATTCTTAATCTAACTACTTTTCAAATGGGAACATATATATGTTAGGAGGGAGTATTTATGTAAGGTACCAAGTACTTTCGTGTCTCTCATTGAGTCATGGACTAGACATAATGGGAGGTTGGTAGAGGGAACTACCATTCGTCAGCCTCTTGCTTTTTATTCAATACTATCTCAACATAAACAACAAATTCAAATTTGTTTTGGGAAAATCATCATTTACCCCAGTGCAGCAAAGGCTCCTACCTACGGTTGGGTAAGGAGGGTCGGATGTATTGGGAAAATCAAATAAAATAAATTGGAAATCTATTGAAGGAAAAATGTGTCCAATATGAGGTATATAGGAAGTTCAGAGGTATATTTGTTCATTCTCCTGATAATAAATACACTCATCAACATTTTTTAGAACAAATATACACAAAATTTGTAAAGTTGAAACAATTAAACCTTTGAACTATATATTAAGCACGAGGTATTAGATATCATAAACTGATAAACACCCTTATGTTCAATAGTAGGGGGGGTGTGTGTTCATAATTATTCGAACTTTACAAGTTTTTGTGTTTACTTTCAAAATAAAATAAAAATTGAGGGAATATTTATTCCTTAACAAAAAAAAATGAAAAATATAGGTTTTTACCAAATTATCACCTCTATTTGAAAAAAATAATTACTCCAGTCATTTTTTTCTTTAATTAAATGATCTATAACCTTTAACCAACATGAACAATATAATCTTCCCATATTTATTTATTAGTATAGATTTTTATTAAACACACCCTCCGTCCCATTTATATTGTCCCGTTTTACCTTTTCGGGAAGTCCCACTTAAATTGTCTTATACTACCTCCGTCCCCCTAAGTTTGGGACAAGAAAAAATGGCACGGTTATTAATAAAAGTGGATTTATGTGGTTGATATTGAATTGATAAAGTAAGAATAAAGTAGGAATGATTTAGAACCACAAAAAGTAAAAACTTTACCAAATAAGGCATGAGACAATCTTAGTGGGACGGACCGAAATGGTAAAATGGGACAATCATAGCGGGACGGAGGGAGTACCATATTTGGCAAAGTTTGTGTGGCTCTAAATCATTCTTACTTTATTCTTACTTTATCAATTAATATTAACCATACAAACCCACTTTTCTTAATAACCGTGTAATCTTCTTCAGTCCCAATATAAATGGAACGGAGGTAGAGGTAGTACTACGTATTTCACAATGAAAAATCCTAACTTCGCCCACACATCATTAACAGTTCCTGAAATGGAAATAGTTAAGAACACAAGAATATAAAGCCAACAAGTATCCGACTATTTGTAGCCTCCACATTTACTTGGCATTTTTACCATTTCCATTAATGATCATACACTAATGATGATCCTTAAGTAATACGTAGTACTACGTATAAATAGGGCCTCACTTGTATCTCCATTCTACTATTGGATCTTCCCTGTGCCTTTGTCACTTTCCAATTCAAGAGACTTTCATCTGATCTGAAAGGTGGGAACCTGAAAAGAAAAAAACGCAATAAAGAATGGAAATCTCTATCGGATTTCAACTCCTCTGTATGACACTGTTCATACCCACCATCCTGTGTTACTACATCCTCTGGCGTCGGACACGACACCGAGGACCTCCCACCCCGCCATCACCACCACGGCTTCCCATCATAGGCCACCTGCACCTCCTCTCCGACATGCCCCACCATACATTTGCTCGTCTTGCTAAGAAACTGGGGCCCATATTCTACCTCCAGCTCGGCCAAGTCCCGACGGTGGTGATTTCCTCTGCCCGGTTAGCCGAACAGATCCTAAAGAGCCATGACCATGTCTTTGCTAGCAGGCCGCAGCTCATTGGCGCGCAATATCTGTCCTTTGGTTGTTCTGACATCACTTTCTCCCAATACGGACCGTACTGGAGGCAAGCGAGGAAAATCTGTGTGACCGAGCTGTTGAGTTCAAAACGGGTCGACTCTTTCCGGGACATAAGAGATGAAGAGGTAACACACTTGATAGAAACTGTGTCTGACCACTCTGAGTGTGAAGTGGACATGAGCGAGCTCTTCTTTGCCATGGCAAATAACATTCTGTGTCGGATGGCCTTTGGGAAGAGGTTTATGAGTGAGCATGGCGATGATGGGAGAGGGAAGAAGAATTTGGTTGGTGTTTTGACAGAGACGCAGGCTTTGCTTGCTGGGTTTTGCTTGGGAGATTTCTTTCCGAGATGGGAATGGGTCAATGTGGTCAGCGGAATGAAGAGAAGGCTGATGAACAACTTGAGAGATTTAAGAGAGGTGTGCAATGAGATCATAGATGATCATTTGAGGAAGGCAGCAGATGGAAGAAGAGAAGACTTTGTTGATGTTTTGCTCAAGGTTCAGAGGAGAAATGACCTTGAAGTCCCCATCACTGATGACAACCTTAAAGCTCTTGTTCTGGTCCATCTCTATCTCTATCTCCATCTATTTATCCTCATGTGTGCACACACTTTAGCACACTTCTTAGCGCACCAGTTACGGTGTTGCTGTGTGACCAGGTGGCCTTTTATCAAAATGATAAGGGAAGGTTTGCTCCTTACACACAGTGGAGCCCTTCCCAAGACCCTCTCCTTGCGGGGACGTCAATGTGCATCAGACCTCCCCTTTTGTAAACCTTACTGTGATTTGTGACCATTTTAATACTTATTTGTAAAAACAAAACCTAACATTGAAAATATTGTTAAATTTGTTTCTATGTACATTATTCAAATATAAACTCTATAATCTTTACATATAGATTGCTGGATATTGGGTTATCTAATATATGCACCTGACCTAGTGCATATGATAAAATGCATTTGGCATCCTTGTTAATCCCCAGAAGAGAAACTTGAAGTTACTATCCGTATGCACTTTTGTTAATAAATTGTAATCCCATGGTCATATGGTGAGGAAAAGATTGACTGGTAGTCAAAAAATCGTCCTCAAAAGAATTAGAGAAGATAGTTCTGCTGCAAATGCATAACAATCCCTGAATCTTTTCCCCAAGGCATATAATACCTTACTTTAAAGGGCACTTCTGTCAAATGCATAACAATACCCCAATTTTCCAAGTCTTTCTTTGGTGATAACTGATAAGAACTCATGGGTACTAGGACATGTTTGTAGCCGGGACGGACACAACATCAGCCACGCTTGAATGGACGATGACATCACTTGCTAGGAATCCAAGGGTCATGAAGAAAGCACAAGACGAAGTAAGAAAGACTGTAGGGGATAAAGGGAAAGTGGAAGAGAGTGACCTTCAACACCTCCATTACATTAAAGCAGTGATAAAGGAAACTATGCGACTTTTCCCGCCTGTTCCTCTTCTTGTTCCCCGAGAATCAATGGAGAAATGCAATGTTGATGGCTATGAAATACCTGCTCAAACTAGGGTCCTAATAAACACATACGCCATAGGGAAGGACCATGATTCGTGGGATAACCCTTTGGAGTACTATCCTGAGAGGTTCTTGGAACAAGATATTGACTTCAAGGGCCAGGATTTCAGGTTCTTGCCATTTGGAGGAGGAAGAAGGGGTTGTCCAGGTTATGCTTTGGGATTGGCTACTATTCAGCTCACATTGGCCCGTCTACTGTATCACTTTAACTGGAGACTGCCACCTGGAGTGAAACCCACTGACGTGGATTTGACAGAGATTTTTGGACTGGCTACAAGGAAGAAGATGGCTCTGAAGCTTGTCCCAGTAGTCAGTATATCGACCTCAATATAAACCATTCTTAGAAGTGAGCTTCTATGTTGCCTCCTTTACTAAGAGTATGTTAGGATCCAAGAAAATGTTAGGGACGGAAAATGGTTGGAAAATTGAAGAAAATAAAAACAGTTTCGAAAAGTCATTTTCTTGTAGTTGGTTTTACCTCAGAAAATGCAAAACGAATTTAAATATGATTGATATTTCTAGTATGTTTACATATGTTTATATTTTTTCTCTTTGTATAATTCTTTTCTCATCCCAATAAAGAGTTGTATTACAAAAACAATGTTGGAAAAAAAGAATCATGTTCAATCAAATGAAGATAAACTGTCTAAAAATACAAAACAAAGCAAGGAACAAGTTTATATGATATATCCAGACAAACTATTAAAAAGAAGTTACTCCGTATAAGATATAAGTATAGTTTATGGAAATAATTCCAAATATATAACTAAAACAAAAGTAATGGACAGAAATGTGACTCTGGTAACTTTAGTGACTATGATTGTATTCAAATGTTACATCATAGTGACTATAAAACATACACATAGTAACTTATAGTCACATTTTTGTCCTTAGATTTTTTTATTAGTAATATTTTAGGAAAAACTTCTAGTTTATGTCATCAGACATTTGTTTTTTTAATTCGGTGATCTCATAAGACTTTTTTATGAATGAATAAACAAATGGATAGTAATAAAATTAAAAAAATAAAATGAGTTGTAACAAAAATAAAAATTAATTTATGGAGTTTGAAAGAATCTTCCCATCATTTTCAATGGAGCCATAGACTCGCTATATTTTGGCTTGGGAATATAATGAAATAAAGCAAAATGGCTCTCTAAACTGTCTGTGCTTCTTTGTTATGAAGCAGCAGTTAGTCTATGCATTTTCAACGCGAATTTCATCCTGAGTCATTCGGAAACGGTCTCTCTGTGCTTTGGCATAGGGGTAAGACTATGTACATCTGACCCCCCTTACCCCAGTGTAGGTGGGAGCTTTTGCGGGTTAATGTTGTTGTTGTATGAAGTCTGAAAGAATGTTCTTACTTCCCTCCACATTTTCTTTCCATCAAAACCTATCCTATATTTCCTCCCTAATTTATCACCCTGGCATTTTTTGAGTTCCAAATGACCCTAATGGAAAAACTCAAAGGAACCCCCCTTAATACAACAAGTGAGAGAGCCCAATACAACCCATATTTTTCCTTACCTACATTATTTTCTTCCTCCAATAAAATAATTTATGTTGTGGGAGAATATCACTCACTGCAAGTCCTTTCTCAGTAGTTCATCAAGAATGGTGAAATATTTTATGCAACTCAAACCAATTTCCTGATTACGAATGCATTTCTCATTGAACAGAGATAAAAAAAAATGTGAAGAGTAAATACTAATTACAATGATTTGTAACACACACGATGGGAAGTATGTATAAACAAAGCTTTCAAGAGAATTCATGTGCAACTCACTAGTAGAGACCAAGCGATAAACTCCGTATAAACAATGTCATTCCCCTCTATGGGATCTTTCTTTGCCCTTCCAACCTGATAAGTGAAAAAACACAAATTATCAAGAAGTGTACTACAACAAAACACATTAAACCACATTCCTCAGTTGTAGGAATAATGCTAAGTTCACGTTTTAAGGGTGAAATGATAATTTTTCCCTCACTCTATGGACTAAATAAATTTAAAATGAGGGTAAAACTATAATTTTGCTCTCTAAATGCTAGCCAAGTGGGGAATTGGATATGATGTAGCATTACTCTAGATGCAGATACCATATAACTCACATGGTCTTTTCTTTTGAGTTCTCAGAATCTTCCTCGGTTGAATCAGATGATAAATTAAGAGCTGAAAGCTTCCCAAATGATTCCTTAGCCACTCCAAAGAAGTCCTTCACCTTATCAACAACAGTTTTAAGCTCTTCTTTTCGTGGAAGCTGCAATTTCAAAGATTTATGACATGAACGTCATTTTATTTCAATCAAGTAATACACAAGTGAATCGATATCTAATTACTCCCTCTGCACCCATGTAAACACCATTTGATATGCCCGTATGGGTTTATAAGCCTGAAAAGATTGGAAGAAAAATCCCATACACCCCCACATTCTGATTAGGATTTTCAGCCAAAGGAAGATAAAATGGTGCATATCGGAGTATGAATTAGTACTCTGAATAATAAATAGTATACTAAGGCAACATCAACTATTACCTCAGTGATATCTGAGGTAGAAAGAGCAGCCCTCAAATTATTATTCTCCTGCATAGTTTTAGCAGAAACATAGATTGTTGGACTTGCAGATACCATAAAAGAAGGTACACTATTAAAAGATAATTAGTAAATAGCTAAGACGCATATATATGGACTTCGGAGGCGAAGGGAGGGGAGTTTCTTTAATTAAGAGAATTATATATGGCTAGTGGTAATAAATAAAGTACTAAGACATTAGTTAAAAGTAATGCTCTTAAAAAGTGAAAAACAACCCTACCCTTATCCCCCCCCCCATAACCCTCCAAAACTCAACTCCCAAACATAGCCTAAGAAAACAAAGAGTTGGAGCATACAACAAGTTTGAATCCATATCTAAACTCTGTAGCAGACCGCAAGACACGATGTCGTTTCATTGCTTGCTTTTGAAGTTCCTTTTCATCCTGTCATAACAACAGCTAAACAATAACCACCACAAACATGCAAGCAAAATCTATATAAAACAATATGGATGAGAAGTTTGTTCCAGGTGATACACATACATATGTAAAAAATATATCTCGGGAAGGTGAGTGAGCGACTCCAACAGAAGTGATTAATAATGCTCTGAATGATCATTCTTTAAGTATTGATAAAGAGCAAACTTGTCAATCTTTAATAATTTCAAATGCTCACACCGTCATTGGAAAAAAAGCCATGTCTCAACAAATGAGCTAATATTTATTGAACTTAATGTGAACTTCCAAAAAAAGATTGAAAGAAGTTAAGTAGGTTAATTATAGTTGAACAAAAAAATAAATTTACGATAGGTAATTTACAAATTGTACGTTGCCAAAATTAAATCGCCACACCCATGCAATCACACTCTATTTTAGCACAGAGGGAGTTTTAATTTTTTATAACTAAATACTTTAGATAACTCATGCCATTTCAGCAACAATTTTGCAACTTCAACCAATGGCCCCATGCTATGTCGAATTCATTTTGAATCAAGCTTAAAAACAATGTTTTATTAATATGAAATGCTTTAAACTAGAACTACTCTTATTTAATGTCTATTAGCCTATTAGCATCACTAGACCAGAACTGTTATGAATATTGGAAATTACCAATGTCACACATGTTTGGTAGTAACTTACTCGGTAAATGACAGCCGCCAGATTCCTAGCTAGGGTATCCTTGTAAATGTACTTCCCCAGAAAGTTGTCCTTTGCAGAAACTATGATTTTTGCACTTGTTCCACCAGTAACAACATTGAGTGGGTACCAAAGGTAAAGCTGCCCAATGAAACTAAACAATTGCATCAGAATCTCCAAAGGCGTTGAATGAATAAGCTCTACTCAGAATCCATTTGGTGAGACAAACCATTGCCTCACCAAAGACTCCTAATTTTGGATGCCTTGGTTGAATTCAGGAAAATAATCATATGGGTTACTTTTTCGTCCAAATGAAGCAAATCACAATTTACTTCTCGCTTCACTTGTACATTTTCTTCAATTTATTAACAAATACTATTGCATGCCCCTTCAATATCTAAAGTCTTAAACCAATGGTTCTTTGCAAAATTGCATATTATACACAGTTAGTGGTTTGCATATCATATACAGATGTTTCTTTTCTCTCTCCCACCCCTGTCACTTCCTGTTAGCTAAATTCATTGAACTATTGAATACCATAAGGAAAACACATTCCCAAATTGCAGATTCGTGAAAAATGTACCCAATCTTATGCTAATAGACAAACAAGATATTGGCATAGTAACCCAAAATTTCACCACTCAAGTTCCCCAAAAAGTACAGAAAAATCTTCACACATAGGAACAAAAGACACACACAGAGGGAGAGGAGGGTCTTACATTGGCCATGCGAATGAATACGACGAATTTCGGATTGCCATCATCCTCGAGCTTAGGCAGAGGGGGAGGAGCCATACGCGGGAACTGGCGAGGTGCCATCCCTTTCTTTCCCTTAGCTTCAACCACCAACAACCTTCCACCATGATGCCTTTTCCGGGAGGTAGAAGCGGTCCTTGTGGAGAAGACCGAGTGCCTGAGAGGTGAAGAATAAGCGACGCCACCCACGGGATTTCTTCCAGGCCGTCTCACTAGGGGGTTCAAAGACATTGCCACCTCCATCTTTTCTAACCCTGTCTGATTCAGCGGTTGCAGATTATTGTACGAGTGCTACTGTGAAGTTCTTCGTGGATGGAACTGAAAAAACTTCCGAAGTAGATGTTGTGTTGGAAGAATGCTTGGATGAGCTCATTAGCTTATCCAGAAACAATTTCATTTCGTTTCAAAAGAAAGTGGAGTTGGGTGGTTGATATTAATTGATAAAGTAAGAATAAAGTAAAAATAATTTAGAGTCACACAAACTTTACTAAATATAGTATGGGATAATTTAAGTGGGACTTCCTGAAAATGTGGAACGAGACAATATAAATGGGACGGAGGGAGTATTTAGGAAGGATCTTGATACAAAACAAATCAAATTTGCATTAAGGTGTTGATTACTTAATCATATACTCATATATACCTATGGAATATTTAGATTACAAACATTAAGATTACATTGACTTTTATTGTTAAAAAAGTTAATCACATTGTGATGATTAAAATATAAAATTGTATTCAACCAAATCAAAATGATTTTTATTAGACCGGAAACATTTCATTTAAATTTAGGAAACTGAGATCATACGAATTTAATTAAAAATTAAAATCAAATTAAGCCAAATCTCATCTTGTACAATAATTATATTAGTATTTATTATCTTTAGTTATTAATAATAATTTTGATATTATTAATTTTCTAATAGTAAAAATGATATCTCAAAAAAAGTCTTGTTTTTCTTGTTTGGATGTTCCAACACCAAACTTCCACCTATATAAAAACAAATTTTATATAAACAGTAACAACTTCCTTTAAATTTTGATTGATTCGAAATGAGGTAAGAATATAGTTGAAATATGTGTGAAAATTAATATAAAACTTTCTATAAGACGAATAAGAGAGCAATAACTATTACCATCTTAGTCCCAATTTAAGTGATCATGTTTGAAACTTTGAATGCAAAAAGAGTTACAAATGAATATATAATAAATTTAATTGAACAAACATATGAGTTTTCAAAATATAATAGGGATTTGTGTTTATGACAATTGTACTCAAGGGTGGAGCCAAGGGGGGTCAGGGTGGTCAGCCGACCCCGTTGAATGTTCAAGAAAATAGAGCTCTGAAATACCTTCGATTTGATATATTATGGGTCTCGTAACTCATTACGAGTTAAAAGTTATGACTTCTGAAAAATCAGCAACATCTTAACTTGAAATAAGCAAAATTTGATATGTGACGTTGATTATATACTTAAATTTAAAAATAAAACATCTAATTCAGTCATTAGTTGTGTGAACATTATGATACATTACATATATATATATCAATACATTAACCGAAAAATGTTCATTAAACTACCATATAAAACATTTAACTCAAGTATTGTATAATAACTGTCCATTATTTTGATACTGTATATAATTAAATTCCGACCCCCCTCACACATTTTTCTGGCTCCGCCCTTGATTGTACTTTACTTATCAAACTCACAAAATGTTGAATAATAAACTCTTTTTTGTGAGATGAAGAGTTAGAAACTCTTGTGTATAACAACCCTTGAATAAAACTCATATAATAACTCTTGTATTATTATAATAACTCGTTATCATTTGATTTAGCTCAATAGCCAAAAGAAGTTGGAAAAGAACTTGATGTATACATCATTTGTACACATCTTACTAGTTGTATGTGGTGTACACAAACAATTCGTCAAAAAATGTAGAATTTATTAAAAGATGTATGAAAATGTCTATGTGAGCGTATAAAAACTGCGTATAAACAAAGCACGACTGAAGAAGTTAACCCAAAATGAGAACTATTCATGATTTAAAACACGTTTTAATCCTTCTCTTCTCTTGAATACACACACGTTTCAAGAGAAAGAGCCATTTATGATCCTCATGAACGTGAGAACGTCTACTTTCTAACGTTCTTCTAATGCTCATTGAAGCCCCACACGTACAACATATGTGAATGTGTGAACTTTCAATGGATTCAGCTCTATAAATGAGTTCAACTTATATAATTGAGTCTTACAGTCTTACGGTTTAAAAGTAAGTCCAGAGAATGTATGATAAAAGCTCAACTCCTTAACTGAATTCAGGGTGGGGAAGAGGGAACTCTTTCAAGGATCAAGCCGATGAAAGAATTTAAAAGTAGCACTTCCCTGTAGGGATAAAATGCATAAATTTCAATATATCTATATTATTCTCAAAAGAATGCCTTGTTTTGACTAAAATCTACCCTGTATAGTACATCAATATTTCCAATGCAACAGTGTATAAATGCAACAAGCCATCAACAATCCCTAGCTTGTCATCAAAATACAATATTCTCTTTGATCTATAATAATGTTACAAGCCGCACTTTGCAAATTTAATCAATCAATATGAGAACTCATGTCCCCTGAGTGATATATACTTTTTTACCCAAATAGAGATGTCCTCTAAGCAAGCCTGGGCTTGTGGTGTCTTTAACAGGACATCAAGGGTAGCAAACTCATGGACCGCGTCCTTATAATCTAGAAGAGGGGCATCCACATAAACTTTCCTAAGCTCCTCTGAGTATGCGATTGCCCTATCCCGCATCCAATCATGTTCAGCGACCACTGTAAGTGTCGGGGGCATATTCTTTAGGGCAACATCCCCCCCTTTTACGGGGACAAGAGGGTTGGCAGCAGGATGGTCCAAACAAAACTCTTCTTCTGGTAAGAAAAGTTTCCATGCAAGTAGGGACATGGTTTTATCGTAGAGGTAAGAATTGGCCAATTTGATCTCTGAACGTGTTGGGGTGTTTCCAATGAAGAAAGGGTACAAAAGGACTTGAGCAACCAACTTCACAGGATCCAAATGTTTCCTGGAATCAATGGCATATCTTGTGACGTAGTTTGCAATATTAGCCCCACAGCTCACTCCAAGGACAACACACCTACAATATAAACTGCTTTAAGTGGGTAGATCTAACTAGCTAATGATACAAATATACAATCAGAACAGACAAATCTTTTATAACTCTATATTTTCAATTGTTTTGTCTGCAAATGGCATATTGTTACTGTTCACTTGTTCAGGATTAAGTTAACTCTTTTTCAGCAGAAAATCAATCTGGAATCAAACTCCAGAGGCATTACATAGAGCATGTTTGGTAAGCACCTCATTCGGCTTATCTGCCATAATTTCCAAAAACACAATCTTATTTGAGTGTGTTAGTCTAATTGGCTTATAATGAAAAGTAGTTTCAGACTCTCTCTTCTTGTAAGATGACTGAAATTAAAGAAACTAACATTACTAACTTTATCCAAAAGGCTATAAGTATATATATTTCTTCATTTCATTTACGATTTTTTCTATAATTCAGTATTTTTACCCACAAGTTCCAGATTAGGCTATTTTAAATCTGCCCAGTGGGCTCTTAGTTCACAAACAAAGGGCTAATGGTGAATCAGTTGACCAGGATCTCAATTCATTGCAGGTAAACCAGAAGGATAATATTTGAAACCAAAAATGGAGACATTTTAGAGCAACTTGTTCTTCAAAATACACAAGATAACCAGGAATAATAAATTTTGGAGTGACTATTCTTCAGAATACACAGAATGAAGATATAGTTCTAGCTTATTACAGTCAAAGAAGGGATCTTTTCCGAAACAAATTACAAATTGCTTGTCGGCACTTCATTAATTCATCATTAATGTAATTCTTTAATTGAAGATGGAGCTTATACTTTTAAACAGTTCTAATTTTTAATTGTAGTACCATATATGTGATGGGATCATGGGACAATAAGCTCAAAGAACCAGACATGATTCAAGATATCAAAAAAAGTGAATATAGTTAAAGAAAACAAAACAAAACAAGACAAAAGAGTTGAGGATCATACCTATAATGGTCAGCATGGGCAGCTAACCAAGGTTCAACCATGGACGAACCAAAACCATCAACAATTTGCCTTCTCCTTCCATCTTCACCACCCACCAGCCTTCCATTCACAAATGACCTGCTACACTCAGCTAAATTCGCCTGTTTCGCGAGCCAATTCAATGCCTTCACTCCATCATCAAAAGCAGCCGGATAACGGCTCTCAGGCGCCAACCTGTATCCAACTGCCACAACAATGGCATCACACGATTTAGCTATTCTTCTACAGAACAAATCATTAGCCACGGTGTCACTACCCCCACCCACCCAACCTCCACCATGAAACTGCAATATCACCGGCAATTTCCTGCAGTTCTTCCCATTCTTATCCGGCAAATAGCCTCCATATCCTCCATTTTCTGAAAAATTCGGACTCTTGTCATTCCTGGAACTCACTTTCACAGACGGAACCCTAACTCTGAGCTTAGGGATCGCGGTAGGCGAGGCAACGGCGGAATCAGGGAGGAAAATTCTGAGGGAGAGAGAAGTCGAGGGATCGATGTGGAGATCCTTAGTAGCGACGCCGTCGTCGCCGAAGGTGGGGTTGACGGCGGCGATTGTCTCGTCAGGGCGTGTAACGACGCCGTATGTACGATCCGTGTCGTGGGTGATCGAAGACTCGATCAATGTCTGCAATCGGCGTTTAAGGAGGAATTTGAACAAGACGCTATACAATTTCACTGTCACGCTAGGCATCTCCGATACGCATTACATCACGACTTGCAAACATACATATACATATATCAATACAAACATGAACTGCGTGTGAAATAAGTATTACATGGAAAAATTAGGTGCTTTGAGTTCGAATAAGAAGAGGGGAAGATTCAAATCTCTGAATTTTGAGATGGAGTTCGAAGTCTGGATTTGTGTTTGAATTGTTGTTCTTTTCAATCATCATGAAGCCATGGGAAAATGGCGCGGTCTACGCCAACACGTCAGCGCTGTTGGAGGTGGACTGGAACAGCATTGCCTGCTTCGCAGCCTTCTTCCAAAACACGTTTAGAATTTCACTTGTTGCCTCTGTAATTTTTTTTTTTTTTCACTCTTGGTACTCGAATTTCTTACAAAATACTCATCGGTTCTCTAATAATTTTGTCGATTTTTTTTTGAGTTTTTTATTTTTTTTCTCTTTTCCCAATTTTCGTACCAACAGTTTTACGGTGGACACTATATCAGACGGTAAATTATACTACCTCCGTCCCACTAAGATTGGGACGAGAGAAGGTGGCACGATTATTAAGAAAAGTGAGTTTGTGTGGTTG